GTGGGGGGGTTGAAGCTGTGGAATTGGGAGTGACTTCTAGGCTTGGGCTTAAACAGTGGAAGGCATTCAGTTCATTGGGTGAGGACAGTTGGGATCGCTCTGTCCTTTTCCTTGACACGTCTGCCTTCTCATCCAGCAGAAACTTACCCTCTGCTCATCTCTGTATCTCCAGATACAAGGGTTCCCCGGGCCACGGGATGAATCAGCAAATGCCCCTTTCAGCTGGGAGAGCCTGGGGGTCAACAGCTCTGGGCTGCACATGTGATATGTCCATGGAAGAGTCAAGAAAGATTCTTTGCCATGTATTCCATGTCCATTTAAAAAAAAAACACACACACAACAAACACACTTGCAGATTTAAAAGAAAATTCAGCACCATTCTTATAGACAGCTGCTCTTTGCCCACCAGACGACCTTGGACGTCGAAGACCACCAAGGGTCACAACAGCCCCTCATATGCTGCAGGTGATATCCCCACTAAAGGGCCATCCTGGGTTTCTAGTGTTGACTTTTTAATATCTTCCCCCCTTTCCAAAAGGATGTTGAGGTGGTTCGCACAGAAAATAGATACAAGAAGTTTCATAAGCTAGAAATGGAAAATCTGGAACAAGCAAATAAAGAAACAAATATATTTATCGTTATATATATTATAGTTGCTCAGACTAATTATAAATTCGGGCCTCCCGCAGCCATAGGAGCCCACCTGCAGAGTAGTTTCCATTCTCAGCAACGTGCCCACTCCTCAGACGGGGCGGGGATTTTTTCCAGTACTGAGTTCTGAGATCAACATACCATGTAGGCCTCTATACAAGAGGCACAAATAATGTGAACCCCTTGACAGTCATTTTTACATTAACATTTGTTAAAATCAGTGCCTTTCGCTTTCTTGTAGGACTTTCCGTTTTCCAGAACAAAATGTGCTTGCTATGCTGCTATATACTTCTGTCACACAGACTTCATAGGAAATTTCCAAATAACACATTTTGTTGCATTGCACTTTACACCATGTTTGTGATCACTCTCTCTAAAGCTTCCTAAATGACCCAGAAAAGAGAAGAAGAAATGTAGACGATATCAGAACAAACAGGCCTCAAAGTTTAGACTGACTAGAACAACATTTAATAGAAGGAAAAGAAAGTTATACCCCTGCTCTCAGGGACCAGAGTCCAGACAACAACACAAAGGAATGAAGACATAAGCAAAGCGGTAACGATGAACCAAGCCGTGGTCCAGCAGACATCGTCAACAGTGTGCTCAGCAGTTTCCAAACTAAAGTGTGGAATTTCAAGTTGCTCCATTCATGCTAAATGTCATCGTTCAAACTCCAGTGCCCGCACGTGAGGACGCTGTTTAGGCAGCAGAGAAAACTGAGCAGTGGAATCGCGTGTGCACGCGTGCAGGCTATTCCTCACCTGGAACATGTGCGCCTTCTCTGAATCACACTTCATGACCTGCACTTTGTCTGCTGACCTCCACCTGGGTCGACGACATCCTCTCCTACAAACTGTCATTCTACACATGTGACTTATTTATACAAACTTTTTATCATGAAATAAGCCCATGTGTTTGTCTATCCCAACTAGAGGGAGCACATCCTTCAGGCAGAATCATGCCTATCATTCTTGTGTTCTCAATGATCCTCATTCATTCATTCAACAAACACTTAATACTAAAATGCAATCCTTAGAGAAAGAAAATCAAAAACAAATAAGATTGAGAAAAATGGCAAGTAATAGGATATATTGGGGTATATGAGGAAGCCATTTGGGTGAGGAAGCCAAAGCTGCTTTGGCCTAACCTTATTTTTTTCCCAAAAGGGCCCAACATGGCCATTGAGCATGCATTGTATATCTGCTTTAAGCATTTGCTATGTCCCAAAGGCAAGAACAAATGGCCTTAAGATAAAGGTGCAACTTTCCCCACACTGGCATTTCCTGAAGGATAAGCATCTCTCCCTAGGCTAGGAACTGATTGCTGTGCTCACCTGTGACCACCCAGCTCCAGACAACAGACCTGCTTCCTGCTATGTCCACAAGACACCAGATGTACTGCCTGCTGTGTCCATCAATCGCTGTGCTGACAGGGCAATCTTGTGACTCTTGTAAAAGGGACATTTCAAGCATGTGTAACACATGCTCTTTGATGCTACATAACCACTGTGTACACCCCACTTCTTTGCAGTGCTCCCTCCCTTTGTGCAAGGACTCTCCCAGGCTATATGGTCCTCACATTTGGTTCATAATAAACTCACCCCAATTTTGATTCATAGGTTGGTTATGGATTATTTGCATCAACAAGATGATCGTTCAGCTCAACAAGCTGCCAAAATAGCAATAGAGTCAGTTCTCGAAACCCAAAGCTAAACAAGGACAACAGGAGAAGGAAGTATTATAGGCTAATCTCACTTACGAACAGACATGCAAAAATCTCTAACAAAATTTAGCAAAACATATCCAGAAAGGTATTTTTTTAGTGGTAAGGCTTTTTCAGTGAAGGCAGGTTGGATAAGGATTGAGGTCATGAAATCAACGTGAAAAGAGGTCAGTTGTGTTATTGTAGGGGAGGAAGACTTTTCCTCCACCTAATGCGGGTTCGTCTGGCCGAAGAACAAATTAAATTCACATGACAGAATAGCAAGAGAAAATTAAACAAAGCTTTATGAGGACCATGGCCCGGGGCCTTTCTTCCTGAAGGAAGAAAGGGCACCAAAGAAGTGGGGTGCACAGAGTGGTTATATACCCCCAAACAGGATATTTCACATATGATTGAAATGTCCCTCCCACAATAGTCACAAAATTGCCCTGTTGGCACAGCGCTTGATGGACACAGCAGGTAGTGGGTCTGCTATCTCGGAGGGCCTAGCAGGAGGCAAGTCTATTGTCTCAAGCTGGGTGGTCACAGGTGAGCTGGGTGGTCACAGGTGAGCACAGCAATCAGTTCCTAGCCTAAGAAAAGATGCTTAATCCTTAAAGAAATGCCAAGGTTGGGAGAGGGAGGGAAGTCAGTTACAGGAGGTTACCAGACAAGCACAATAAACAAATGCAGATTTACGTCCTTGCCTTCCCCATTGATTAAGGATTTCTAGAGATAAAGTCATCTCCCCTTCTTCCTGGTACAGAGGGAGATATCTTTACAGATGGAGAGTTCCTTTACAATGTAAATGTCTCTTACAAAGGGTAAGTAAATTCTACTTTTCAATTGCTTTCCTGTCTGCAAAGTAACTAGCCTCAAATAATCATCATGCCAAAGAGACATATCTTGGGGTGGCCAAATCCAGGTCCCCACATTATCACCTCCAGCAACACTGAGCTCCTTCAGCAAGAGTGCAGACAAAGCTAAGGTTGGGCTCATCCAAGACTGGACTTTTGTCACCTGAATACAAAGTGGTTCATGGGGGAAAGGAAGCCAAAGCTACTTGCAAGAGAATGATTAAACTGGTGGTTATGAAATCCAAGCTGTGACAGGAGAAAAGCAAATCCAAGGGCTGGCTGTTACATATTTGAAAAGAATAGATCAACACATGGGGGGACCTCGAGGCCAATGCATTACAGGAGGGAGGGGACTTGAGCAAAAGGGCCCGAAAGTTAGGAACTGGCAAATAGTAGGCATTCAAGAGCTTTGTTGAATAAATGTTAATGTCAGTAGAGCCACTAAAATGCAGTTTTTATAAGATGGTTAGGGATTTGTGACCATCACATAAACAGGTGATAGGGACCTGTGCAGCCTCCAAGATCTGGCTTCTACCTGCCTTTCTAGTCTCGAATTCTGACACTTCCTACCATCCTTTCCCCGCTTTATACTGCACTATCAAATTGTGTGTAGATAAACACATGCACAGACACACACTCAGAGCGAGCTGTTTCTCACCTCTGTGCCTTCCTCCAGCTGCCATATCTGCCTGAAATGTCATCCACCCAGCCCATGCCCCACCCCAGCCATTCCCAGCTGTGCCAAGCTTGGCTCACTTTTGCTCCTACTGAAACAGCACATCAAACACTGACCACCTTAAACTAGTCTTGCTTTCTTTTCTTTTTTTTTAAGATTGGCACCTGAGCTAACAACTTGCCAATATTTTTTTTTTTTTTTTGCTTTTTCTCCCCAAATCCCCCCAGTAGACAGTTGTATATTTTTAGTTGTGGGTCCTTCTAGTTGTGGCATGTGGGACGCCACTTCAATGTGGCCTGACGAGCAGTGCAATGTCTGTGCCCAGGATCCGAACCAGTGAAACCCTGGGCCGTCACAGCTGAGCGTGAACTTAACCACTCGGCCATGGGGCCGGCCCCAAGTCTTGCTTCCTTGAAACAGGTTTTTGATTAATCAAACCTTGCTCAATAACAGAGACAGCACTGCACACCTGCCAGGCGGGAACTCATAGCCCCAGGATGACTCCAGAACCAAGAATCTTTAGAAATGTTGCCACCTGAGCCCTTTACAAAGCGAGAAGTTCTTCAACAAGGAAAACCTGGCTTCCAGCCGCTTGATTACCATATATGGACTGATCCGAGACTAGCCAATCAGCTAATACTGGCCTAGCTATAGCTTAGCAGCCCCTAAATCCTTAAATTTCGCCCTGAACCTTGGATCAGAGAGATAGATTTGAAAGTCTTCCCTCGTGTTTCCTTGCTGATCGACCTCGCAATAAAGCCTTGTCTTTTCTCAAAAGCCAGAGCCATAGCATTGGCTTCTGTGCGCATTGGGCAGCAGGCCCTTCCCCGGTAACACTCCCCGTCCTACAAGATCTGTATATATTTTTATCTTCGCACCTCCTGTGTTGTATTAAGAACAACTCGCTGTGCCTGGTAGTTTCAGACCCTGAGCTCCAGGTATACACCTAACTTCTCATCCATCTCATTCACAGGAGCAAACCTGGCACCTAACAGTGTGCCGAGAAGCTCTGTTCTGCAAGGCTGGGGCCCTCAGCCTGGGACGTGTCCTTGTCAGTGCAGAAGATGCCAGAATCAATCACAGTTCTCATCTTTCCTTTTTTAAAAAGTACTTACTTTTTTCTTTCTTCGTGAGTGTTTCTCAATGTCCGCGTATTTTCTGCAAGACAAAAGACAGCCTGAAATGTTTAAAGCTCCCCCAAAAACAACTGTGTAAAAAGGTAGACCGCAGCCCTGGCTTTCAGGAGGCATGACCAAGAGGAAGGAGCTTACTGCCCTCAGAGGGTGCAGGCTCACACCAACGGTTTTCCAGCCCCAGAGAGAAAGGGAGTCTGTTCAACTTCCTTGCCTGAGATCTTTGAAAATCCAGTGGATTCTCATTCATCAGAGTGGCGGCCTGGCCCAAGGCTTACAGGCACCTTTTGCTCTGAAGCTTTTACAGGATAGTGGGGGGAAATCCTAACATCTTCAAAGTTTTTACGGTTGACTTCGGCTGTCACAAGCACCTTTCTTCACGGAGCTCTCACAGTGACCTGGGGGGCGCAACCCTTATGGTTCTCTTCAGGCTGGTGAGGAACCCAGGCTCCAGGACACGAGAGCCTTACTCAAGGCCACACAGCTGAGCAGGGAAGAACAGAGCCTTCAGCCCAAGGAAAACTCAGTCCATCTCTTCCACCGTGTCACACAGCTCCTGTGCAACTGCCCGGCAACAGTACAAACGCACACGTCCATTTCTGACCCTTCTTTATCCAAGCTGACGCCAGTCGTTGCCACACAAATTTGGAAATGCTTCCACTAAATGGTTCTCCAGCAGAAGAGCACCTCCTGCATCTGTTAAAGGACTTCAGTCTCTTAGCAACTCTGTGAACTCTCAAACCCGAGGCTCTGACGAGGGAAAAAGATATTCAAGCAACGGACAGACTCAGTTCAGGGTTCAACACACGAATGGATGACAGGAAAAAACATCAAAAGGCAAAGAATGTGTGTGAGGAGCAGGGGACACAGAGTGGAGAGACCCATTCCACTCCGTTCTTCAGCCCCTAGGGTATTTCTACCCACCTGCTGTTAGGATGTCAGCAATGAAGAAGGCAGTCCATAATATCCGTGCTCGCCAGGCACGAGGCAGGACCCTCCCCTAACCATCCGCCTGGACAGCACACTGCTGTGGGGCCATCCGTCCACAGACAGGACAAAGGGAGCCGTTCTCTGCCTTAGAGTAGACACCCTAAGAGGCCACGAGCCCGCATGGGCATGAGGTCACCGCAGACGCTGTTCCAGGTGGTGTCTCCACTTTCCCAAACGCACACCCACCTGTGCATGGGCCAGGGGTGCAGGCCCACCTCCTGCACTACCTGAAACCAGCTGCCTATTCCCCACTGACGTGAAAACTGACCTGGCTTTTTCATTGCTCAAGATAATGACCATTAAAAACTTGACAGAGAAACAGCTACGGGCAAGGTCCCTGGCAGGCCCTCAAATAGGCCCGACTCTACAGCTAGTTGGAATAACCCCTGGGGCTAAGCATTCGAGGGTGCCAAATCCCACAGAGGAGCTAAAGGAACTCGTGTCTCAGCAAGACCTGGAAAGCAGGAACTCCCCTCAGTGTGGGAACTGGCGCTTGGCGCCCACGTTAAAAATTACATGTGACGGAGTCTTGTGAAAGGAACACTCGGGCTGCGTGTACACACTGAAGGGAGGCGGGGCAGCAGCTCGGGGGGCCTGGCACCCCAGCAGAGACCCCCGCCTTCCAGGGTAAGCAAGAAAGGGTGGTTGGAAGGACCCATTCCCCATGCAACTAAAAGTCTTGCCCACACGGCCAAGGGGCCCTGCGACGTTGTGATTTATAATAAGAAATACATATTTGGTGACAAATAAAAATGGCAAGTAATAGGATATATTAGAGTATATGAGGAAGGCATTTTGTGTAAACCTAATTCGGCCTGACCTTGTCTTTCCAAAAGGGCCTGACTGAGGCCATTGAGCATGTATCGTATATCTGCTTTAGATATTCCCTATGGCATATTGAGATAAAGGCCCTGAGATAAAGGTGCAACTTCCCTTCCCCTCCCAACGTTGGCATTCCCTTAAGGATTAAGCATCTTTCCTTAGGCTAGGAATTGATTGCTGGGCTCACCTGTGACCGCCCAGCTCGAGACAATAGGCTCGCCTCCTGCTATGCCCACGAAGATAGCAGACCCACTACCTGCTGTGTCCATCAAGCGCTGTGCCCACAGGGCAATCTTGTGACTACTGTGGGAGGGACATTTCAATCATATGTGAAACGTCCTGTTTGGGGGTATATAACCACTCTGTATACCTCACTTCTTTGGTGCCCTTTCTTCCTTCGGGAAGAAAGGCCCCAGGCCATGGTCCTCAGATTTCAGCTCAGAATAAACTCTCCCAAATTTTCATTTATAGATTGGTTATGGATTATTTTCATCGACATTGGTCTTTGTCCCCATTTCTGGCACAAAGCCCCTAAAACCTTTGGAATTTCCTAACTGATGAAAGCAATAAAGGTGTCTTTTATCATGTTAATAAGGTGACTTTTGGAAAGCACCTAAGGATGGAGTCCATTTGCCAGGAGAATGGACCACGTGATTGATGGGTTGACCACCAAGAAGGGGAGACGGGCCAGAGGTTGAATCTGAAGGCCAAAGGCTAAGGATCTAATCAACCATGCCTATGTAATGAAGCCTCCATAAAACCCAAAGGACAGGGTTCAGAGTTTCTGGGTTGGTGAACTCGTGAGGATTCAGGGAGACTGGTGCACTCAGAAAGCACGGCAGCTCCATGCCCCTCCCCACACCTGGCCCTGTGCAGCGCTTCCATCGGGCTGTTCCTGAGTTATACAAACAGGTGATCTAGTCAGTAAAATACTTCTCTGAGTTCTGTGACCTGCTCTAGCAAATTAACTGAACCCAGTGCGGGGATGGATTGGGGCGTTAGAACCTCCAATCTATAGCTGGTCTGTCAGAAGCACAGGTGACAAGTGGGGGCAAGGAGGCAGTCTTGTAGGACTGAGCACTTAGCCTGCAGGATTTGATGCTATGTCCAGGTAGACAGTGTTAGAAGTGAGTTGAGTTGTAGGACTCCCAGCTGGTGTCCAAGCATTGCTTGGTGTTGTGGGAAAACCTCCACACACTGGAATTGGTACTAGAACCATAGGTCCCTAGAAAGAGATCCCTGAGGGATGCCTGCCTGTCACCCCAAGCCCGGTGCCTGTCTTCTTAGCTGACCCAAGGGTAGTGATCCCAGCCTCAGCCTTAATCCCAGGGCTTTCATTTGGGACAAGAAAATTGAAGATTTGGACCAGTATATTCCTCTGAACTTTGATTTTGCAGGTCAGCTTCCCTCATGACCCACCGCTGAGCCAGGTCCAGGCCTGACAGTATCAGACACACGAGCTCACCCGGAGCTGTGGCTGCTGAGGGCCCCAGACCAATAAAGAGGCTTCTGGATCTACTGTATTCTGGCCAATACAGTAACAGAAAGGTTAGGAAACTGTTTTGGATTATACAGTTCTACAGGTATTTGGAGTAGGAAATATTGCAGATTTACACACAAATACAACCTAAGAAGCAAAGGTGAGAGGGACTCTGAAATTTCATTAAGGAAGCGTCAAATGAAACTATGCCCTGAGAATGGAAATCAGGCCACCTCGCCAGGGGACTTCACCCACAGAGAACTGTGGGACGGGCTCTCTGCAGACAGGTAGGGAAGGCTGCCCATGGCTAAGAGAGCATCCATGCAGGACACTGCCGAGCAGGTCAGAACTCAAATGCTGGGCTTTTCTGCCTCAGGATAAAGCCACCGGGCTCCCTCAAGTGTAAGTCTACAAGAGAACGTAATGCATTAATCACAGGTGCTCATGGGCCTACTGCAGATGGCATGAGTGGAGTCAGCAAACCGTCCTGACAAGAGACAACTGTCAGACAAATCTCAGGGGACAGGACAGAGTTCCCACCAACGTCTGCATCTTCCTTCTAGTCGTGCTTCTGTGTCCATAAATACACACACCGTGTGCAACCTGGTAGCCAGGTCCAGGAGTACCATAAAAATCACTGCTTTTTTCACCAGGAGAGACTGCCGCCCACACAAACTCTGTATTTTAGACAAGGAAAAGCAAGTCAAACTAAGACGACAAAACGCCGTGCTGGATGGAGCGTGGGTTATCGTAACTGTGTCCTGGGGCCAGTTCTGCAACTATTTTGCACATTTAGACTCTGGATCTCTAAGACTCCCGGGAAAAGACAAGGGACTCAACATGAGATCTTACTGTCCTTGTGAATAAACCACACAACAGTAGCTCCTCCTTGCCTAATTTTGAAAATCCGAAACTGTATCACATATAAAATAAGAATATCAAGTTTCACTGCAGAAAAATAGCCGATAACTGAACTGGTCATATTTGGGAGAGATACTGGGGTGGGCGGGTGGGGGGGGAGGCAAATTTTTCCAAGGCCGGAAGGAAAGGTATGAAATGTGCTCACTGTTGGACCTCACTGGGAACATTTGGGGACTTCCAGTAAGGGAAATACTTGAAGGACTCCAGTCCTGCCGCCACGTAAAAATGTTGGTCTTGCAGATCCTTTGAGTTGTCCAAAAGATGCCCATTCATTGTAAATAATCTGCAAAGAAAGAAAGAGGAAATGGGCTAGAGATTTAAGACCAGTGATGTCGAGGCTGGCGGTATTTTTGGACGCGATGTGACTAGCGTGGGGACTGTCGGAGAACCGGTGCACTCGTCAGCAAGCGCAGTCCAAATGCGCTAATGAAACCCCGAGGGAGCTGCTCTTTCAGCATTAGGCTTCCTTTCCTTTTTCAGATCTTTTAATTAAAATATATTTTTAATTACATACAAGTGCTCAGAGGCCCTTGAGGACATTTTAAGCTCTTGGTTGGTGTTCAATTAATTTTAACTAATAACAGCTAAAATTAATACAAATTGGCTTATAATGTCCTAACAATACTTGGAAAACAAACCAGCACTTATTAGCGAATAATATGCCTTTTTATAAGCATCAAAAGACTAATATTTGTCTACTCTTTATTCTGTACTCTTTTTTAGCAAGCATTCATTCACTAATTTATTCATTTAAGAAATGATTCAATTCATTCAATGCTGAGCATCTATTATGCATAAGGCAATGAGATAGGTATTGCCTTGGGTTAAAAATATGAGTAAGTCACTGCTTCCCCAAGTCCAGAAGTGGACAAAAACCTATAAAAACAAATAGGACCAGGGAAGGGCTGGGGTTCCAAAAGGAGAGAGAATAAACTCAACCGTAGGCTTCCCAAAGGTGGGAGAATTTGTAGTGGGGTGTGAAGGGTGGCTGGGATCCCTCATGTGAAGACGGGATGAAGCTACATGGGGTAGCAGGAGGGGTCTGCGCAAAAAGCCGGAACACAGGGGGCTGACTGCCCTGAAGGATGAAACGCAGACACAGAGCTGGAATGTTGACTTCTAGAGCCTGGAATTCTAGGGAGAGGAATTTATCACCGATTTAGTCAGAGTGCTCAGAGATTTCCTAGCAGAGTGGGAGAGGAGCTGTGTTTTAGCAACAGTAAGCTGACCATCGTGGACGGGCTGTGAGGAGGAAAGGCCTCACCTGTGTGAGGAGACAGAGCCACTGCGAGGGTGTACCTGCGGCCACGAACTGCAGCAGCCAGCACAGGACTGGGGAGCAGAAGGGAAGCAGGGCGCAGCAAGAAGGTGGAGCCCACACAACTCATCCTCCCACAATCGCTCCCAAACCCTGATGCACTGGATCACCTGGGAGGCTGCTAAGCACAGGGGACCAGGCCCACCCTTCCATGGGGCTTCCGATGCATGAGTCTGGGAGGAGGCAGAGCACTCCCTCCTAACAAGTGCCAGCTGACACCATGCTGCTGCTCCTGGGGCCCCATGCGAGAACTGCTGCCTTAGATCAACCATGGAGGAGCGATGGAAAGAAAACGTCAAGACAGGAGGTAACGTGAGACACCACCGGAGAGCCAGCCCTGGGACACGGAGCACAGGCTCCAACGCGAAAAACAACGCTTGGAATTCTGTTCTTCTCCTGCCGTCACCGTGGGCCATCAGTGCTCGGATAGTGGAGGGCTCAGACAGCAGATGCAAGTGGCTCCAGGAGTAAGTCGGGGAAGAGCAGATGCCCTCAGCAGGCGAGGGGCTAAGGGAGACGATGGGACTGACTGGCTGTGGCCTTGAGGAGAGCACCTCCACCCGAGCCAGGCTCCGGGCTGGATGGTAGGGCTCTCACGGGTGGGGTGTTTGAATGATCTCACCAGAAGCAGAAGTGTTGGAACAGATGGACCAAGAACTTAACATAAACATGAAAAATGTTCTAAAAGAAATAAGAAATAAAGAAATAAGCATAAATTACTGTTTGGAAGATAAAATTGAGGAACTCCCACAGAAGGAGGCAGAGAATGATAAGAAACAGAAACAAAAGAAAAGTTAAGAAATAAGGATGAATAGAAGTGCCAACACTCAGACAATAAGAATCCCCAAAATGTTAAAATAAAAGCGGAAATGAAGAAATACGTGTAGAAATAATGGAGACTAATTTCACAGAATTAAAGAAAGAAGGAAGAGCTCAATTTGAAAGGGTCCATGGATGGCAAAAAAGCGTGGACAGAACAGTGAGGTCACAGTACGTGCTCAACAAACAGGGATTGAATTGAAAATTGAGAGTGGAAATCCTTGTATTTCAAAGACTCGAAGAGTCTCTCAGGGTCAGCTCATCACCTGTTCCGTCCAGCAGTTAACATGGAAAGAACCCAGGACAGTGGAACCGTGGACAGTTTACTCTCTTCCATCCTCACCTTCCTCCAGCCACGCTAACTGCCTTTCCTTTCTTGGAACGTGTCTGGCTCCCACGTCCAGGCATTTCCACTGACACTGCATTTTCCCACACAGGCCGGAGACCAGGCTGAGGCAAGAGAGGGACCAGGGTGCAAATCTGGGGAGGTGCCCACCCACAGGGGCGTGCCAGTGCCTTGCTCATCTTCTCCCTGGCCCGGCCCTACCCTGATTTCTACTCATGTCTCATACTTGGAGCAAAAGTCTCTTCTTCTGGGGTTAGGCCTGGACTGCCTCCACCACGGTTGTGCTCCCCTCTCATAAACACCCTGCCCCACTGTAATTACTGATTGGAGTCTGTCTTCTCTGCTGGGCAACCAGCTCAGTGGGGTGAGCAGAACGGGCTGGGTCTCTGAGCTCAGCCTGGTGCTCACCGCGTAATCCGCACCCAACCAATGTCTACCAGAAGCACATTTTTCTAACACCAAGATCAGCACTAACTCCTCACGCAGAGACCCACGCACAATTTTACTTACAGATTTCTCTGGACTATATATATCATACCAAAAGTTCAAAACTATCCAATAAATCAACTAATTTTAATACCCCTGAGAATTTGGCTGTTCCCAACAGACACAAGAAAGAAGTGTAGCGGAAACCTCCGCTGAACCATATTAACATTATCCAAGGAATGATTAACACAGATAAGCACAAAGGACTTTCCAAATGTCTGTTGAACATTAGCTGTAGGTTCTGTTCACAGGCGTCACATACATGAATAGTAAAAAAGGCTGTTCTGTGCATAGTATGTCGCTCTCTCAAGCTTACTATTTGTACTTTCTAAGCATTTCTTTTATTTCCAAGCTCTGCACTTTTTCTAAATTCAAGCATAAAGAACTAATTTAAGTCCAGTAAGAAGAAAGAAAGAAGCCTACTGATCTAATGTCCTATTTTCCCCGTAAATCTCCTACTTCCGCGCTTTCTTCTCTTGGAGAAGGATGTCCCTCTCAGCTTCTCCACCAGCACTGCATATGTGAAAGCTGTGACTAATTCCACTACTGTTGGTGGCTTCTTACCAAAGGATACACAAGTCTATCTCCTCCACACCATCGTCTCTATTGCCTTAAGAATGAAACGCTAATATTTATCACCGCATTCTGGAATTATTTGGGCATTTACAGAACTAATGTTCTTACATCTACCTTCCCCGGGGCATTGAGGGCCCCGTTGGTATGCACCGTCCTTGCTGGGTTAATGACCATCCCATCGCTCGAAACGTCCCAACACAGTACATCCTACTCACAAGTCAATACATCAGTTTTCATTGTTGGTATCACGACTGTGGACTGTAAATCAATCTTCGATATTTCCATTTACCCTGAGAGAGTTAACTGACAAGAAAGTAAAATCGCAGTAAATGTTTTTGCTCTTCTACCCCACTGCCTACCATCTGGGGACCATTACTGTCCATAAAGACGGTCCCTCTAACATTCAGCGTCACACCACATTTCCTTACTTTTCAGCTGTAAAGACTCGGGTCTTCCCACACTTTCTCAACTCACTCCCACTCCAGGTTATGGGGCCTTCTCAGCACCCCAGCGATGTTCCCACCGCCAAGGTCCTAACCCCGCTGCCTGCAACCTCTCAGCCTTCCGGCTCTCCACTGCTCCCTCCCTCTGATCCATTCTAACAGCCAGGCCCGTTGTCTGAGACCCGACGGTCCCTGTCCGCTCCACAGCCAGCTCTGTCTCCACCTGCTTCGCCTTAAACCCTGGCTGACACGCTGCGCCTCTCCCCTGCTTGTCCTTCCCCACACTCAGCCTGTGGAGGAGTCCATCTGCCCTCTCTCACCCCAGGCTGCCAGGGTGAGAACACGCAGTCCTGCAGGTTGGTCTGGCTGGGCCCTCCACCCTGCTCAGCACACCTATGCCCCTATGCCCCACCCCTCTCGCTCACCCCGTTCTCCTCTCCATTCACCAGAGACGACCTTTCTTCCACGCACACCCAGGTCACAGGCCTTCCATCTGCTCAGGACTCTGTTCCAATTGTTCCATACTCTCCTTCATCTTCACCCTCCCCGTGCCCTGGGGCTTTACCCTAGGGAGAGAAATGTGTCTCCTACACTCCTTGATAAGAAAGTGTTTGCCTGGAGCCCTCACAAGCAATGATTGGATCTCTTCTTATTTGTCCTCTCTCCTCCTTTTACAGCCACACCCACCCCACGCTCCCACCTCCCCTTCCCCACCCCTCACTCAAGCCCTGCCCACACAACCTGGCTTCTACCTCAAAGTGCTCTGGGCCACCTGCTAAGGGCAGTCCTGAGAGCACATTCCAGTTCTCGTCTCACTCATCTGTGGCTTTTGTTGGCGTCCTTGCCTGTGGAGGCATTTCTGCCCTGCTCCCCCGGCTGACGCCTTCTAGTCTGCCCACCTCCCCACTGCCATGTGTGTACACCCTCCTCTGTGGGCTCCCTTCTCTCCTGCTGCAAAGTCTACTCCCAAGAGTTCTGCCCAAGCTGGTTCTAGGGCCCAAGACTGGGAACAGGCGAAGGGCCAGCTACTCCATCGCCACAGAGCACAGGGCCAAGGGGAACTCAAAATCCGGGGGCAAAGGTGGATCAAGCACCAACTAGTCCAGGGAGTCACCCAGGGGCCAGAGAGAAAGAGCGAAGGCAAGGCCTCAGGGCCACAAAGGAGGCACCAACGGCAGCCTGGAGAGATGCTCTAGGGCACCCAATCAGAGGAAAATGGGTCCTCTTAGAGGACGCCTAAAACCGCACCTGTGGGTAGAAAAGCGGCCAGGCAATAAAAGAACTGATTGGAAGATGACTATTGTCTTTGTCTTAAACTATTTGATATTTCTGCCTTCTTGTGAAAAATCTCATCTGCCTCCAAGGGACCCACATTCCCATGAGGTGACAAGGAGCCCACTGAGGTCCCCGCAGCATCTGAGCTGTGCCCCTGCTCTGGGCTGGCTTCCAGGGGGGGTCTCACCACACACAGCTCCACTCTCTAGCCACTGACTTAACAAATCCCAAATCTAAAACTCGCAGCCCAGACCTGGACGTCCCACAGGCATGTCATACTGACCCCTTCAATCCATCATTAACACCCAAACCAGCATCGTGTTCACCACCTCAGAAAAGAACCTCGTTGGTTCAGTTTCTCAAATCAGGAATCCTGTGGGTTCCTCTCCCTCACCTCTCCTCCTAACCAAGTAGTTACCAAGACTTAACATGACAACCTCTTAAGCACCTCTCTCCACCCCCAGTGTCACCTCACCTCTCTCCACCCCCATCACCACCTAGTGTCTCTCCACCCCCATGGTCACCTCACCTCTCTCCACCTCCCAGGTGACTTCACCTCTCCCCAACTCTATGACCACCTCAGCTCTCTCCACCCAAGGTCACCTCGCCTCTCTCCACCCCTACCCTCAATCCATCGTCATGACTGGCACAGTGAGCTTTGTCCACACAAACAGGACCCAGTGCCTACAAGACTGCAAGCGCCTTGCCTGGCCTGTCTGACCTTCCTGGTCTGGATCCCTGACAGTTGTTCCAGCCTCAAGTCTAGCTACTTCCCTCACAATAATGCTGAGTATAACTAATAGCATAGTATTCCCCCCAAAACTCCATGCTTGTTCACAATCATAATCATTAGCCCTCACTACACACCAAGCACTATTTAAGTACTTCACACATATGATGACTCTTAGAAGTAGGTCCTACTATTATTTCCAATTTTACAGATGAGGAAACAGGTCTCAAGAAGTTAAGCACTGGGGGCGTGGTGATTAATTTCACACACTGCTTCAGCGGCCTGTGGTTCACAGGGTCAGATCTCAGGCACAGACCTACACACCGCTTATCAAGCCACGCTGTGGTGGCATCCCACATACAAAACAGAGGAAGACTGGCAACAGATGTTAGCTCAGGGAACAACTTTCCTCACCAAAAAGGAAAAAAGAAGAAGAAGAATTTAAGCATGTCCCTGAGGTGACTAGGACGCAGGTGGTAGAGACCAGGTTTGGCTCCAGGTCACGCTAGTGACCACTGCACCACTCTGCCTCCTTCGTACCTGGACTTCATCTCCATGCTAATCAGTCAAGTCTCAGCTCAGACATGGGCCCCTGCCACGTGGCTTCCCCTGACTTCTCCAGACCAGCCAAGAGGCCTCCATAAACCAACAGCAGCGGCTAAGGACACACTCATCATTGGCCCACCCAGTAGGGGCTCAGGGGGCACCACCCTGTCTTGTTAGGCTGTGTTCACCACACCTAGCACGTGGCAGATGCTCAGTGAACTTTGTTGAATGAGGACATGAAAGAAAATGGTTGAACATGTATGACACAAACACTGGGGAAATATTGTCAGCTTCAAACAATTGAAATCAGATTCATGATGACTCGTTTTAGCCCTTGCTGGTCCAGGCAGGGCATTTCCACAGAAGGTCACAAAACGAGCTGCTGTGACCAGGTCTCCCGCAGGAGAGAGAATGACTTACTTTCGAACACCTCCCAGAGGAAAGACTTTTTCTCCAATCATGGCCAGCACGCTATTCCATTCCGTCAGACTAAATTTGGGTATAATAATTTTTGTAGGTGGAATAAATAATCTTCCATTTGTGAAAACACTGTAAGAATAAAAAAGAAAGCATTCGCTAGTATCTGAAATTTGAGGAGCAAACACTGAAAATTCAAAGAAAGATGTGTAATGATACAACTGTAATCCGCGCAAGGCACTGCACAGCCCCGCGGGGCACCCCCGCCCCCGGGGACCGTTCTCAGCTGCACGGGATGCCTGAAGCCTGCTGACATCACAGTCACATTGGGGACACATCTTTTCACAGAATATAAAATGCCCAGATGAACAAGACAAAACCCTACTTCTTAAAAAATATGCCTCCACTATCGTGGGTAAAATGGACGAAAATTGCGTCCATTTGGAAAACAAAGGGGGAATTTTTGCCTTTAAAAAGGCAGTTATTTCGCTTCCCATGGAGCCAAGATAGTGTCCCGAAGGAAATAATGCGCAGTCCTCTGAAAAGATAATAGAAACAATTGGTTTCACTCCTGCAGTTCTGAGGCAGCTTCACTGGGATCCCAGTGGGTTTGTTTTGTTATTTCTAAGTACAGTGGGGGACGGGGGTGAGGGGTCTCCCACAAAGACCAGTGCAAAGTTATTAGTTCTCTGGTGCTAATGAGGTCCTGCGGTTTAGTCAAAGCCACGTGGCAACAGTTCCAAACTCTTGTGACTCATATTAAAATAATGTAAAATACAAGGCTTATTCCTTTAAGCCTAAAAGTGATGGACAATATTTAACAATATAGGAGCTCAACTTTACAATTCTGGTTTTCAGTTTTTTACATTAGTATTTATGATGACTGTTGTTTTATTATTGTTGTTTTTCCTGAAATGCAAATAATTTAAAATTGGAGAAATACATCTCTCTTTTTTTCAGGGTAAATATAAATTTTAATTTAACGTATTTGTGCACAATAAAGAGAATCCGCTTTTTCTCTAGCACGGCTCTGTGGCAAGAGGCTTCCAATTAACCCAGAATCTGATTTCTTCATATTTAGAACACTACCCCACACAAGCCCTAGGAAGAATGTTCTGTGCAAGTGACATCCCAGTTCATCCATGTGACATTACTACTACAATCAAGATTCGCACAAGGTTTCCACCTGTTGCTTTTCCTAAACGGTTTATGCCAAAAGTCTTTCCAAACCTAGATTACTACTAATAATAAAATAAATAAATGTTTAAACAAGGTCATGTATTTTTGTCTAAATGTTTAAAGACATTTAATATATATTCTTATTCTGAGTGTGGGGAAATAGTCACACTGTTATGGACTGAATTGTGTCCCCCTAAAGTTTTGGCAGCCCTAGCAGACTAATTCACACACACACACACTTTGGTATCGCTAAAACTGAGCACAATCCTCCCGAAGGGCAATTTGGTAACAGAGATCAATGGGAGGTACAGGACCAATAACCATTGACCCAGGGTTTCCATTCCATGAAATCCAACCCACGGAAATGGGACAGAGATTTACATGTAAAGATATTTCTCATGGGATTATTTATTTTAAAAATATATGAAAACAACCTAAATATCCAAGTATGGAGGAACAGTTAAATAAATTACAGCACGGCCATACAAGAATAAATTATGAAGCCACTTAAAATTATTTACGCAGAATTTGTATTTACAGGGGAAAAATGGTCAAATCTAACTAATCCTGCAAAAGCATACAACTACAGGTACAGAGAGAACACTAAAAGTAGCTGTACCTCCAGCTTAATAGTGGCTGTGACTGAGGAGTGGGGTAATGAGTGACTTTTATTTTATTCTTCCACTTTTCTAGATTTCCACATTTTTTATAATAAGCATGTAAATATGGGGAAAACTACCTATAAGAAATTTTTTTTTAATGTTTAAAGATAAAGGAAAGAAATCTTATCTCCACTTTATAGATTAAGAAATTGCAAGTTCAGAGGCAGTGACGGACTTAACACACCTCCAAAAGTTTGCTGGTTGAGCTGAAGAATGAATTAGACCCCTCTTGCTGTGCCAGACTTTAGGTCTGTGCTGTGCAGCATCCGAGAGTCCATCTTGCACCTGACATTCCAGGTGGATGGATAACCAATCCCATCCAAAACACCCAAGAACAGTTTCCCTGGGAAGTCTGTGATGGACAGGTAGTGGATGGCAGGAGCCCCCGGCCACACAGCAAAGGCCACCATTGTTAGATTATGGTACGTCCGAATTTTGGAATACTATGTAGCCATTTTTTAAAGCACAGCTTATCTATATGTGCTGATAAAGAACCGCACAGGATGAACTGTGTCGTGAAAAAAAGGAAGACACACAACAGTGTAAGCATACGCTGTAAGAGCTTGACTACGCAGAAGCTGCCTTACAAGAATACTCCAAAAACTCTTAACAGTGGTTCCTCCTGGGAAATTACTAGAGAATTGAGGATGGAAAGTGGGAGGAAGACTTACTTTTAATTTACACATTTTAAAACTATATATTTACCATGAGCATAAATTACTCTGGCCATAAAAAAATAGTTAAAAAAATAACTTTGAAGTAAGAGAAGTTAAAGGTGTAAAACTATTTTGTCAGTGCAACTAATGTGCCAATTAATTTTTAATGGGAAACATTATAAGTAGGATGTATTTTCAATTCTTTACATAGGAAATATTTTTAAATAGGAAACAGCACACGGATCCAGGAGTGGATTTTAGTTGGGTGACATGATGATGATGATGATGATGATGATGTCTGCCATTTACTCAACATTTACCATATCCCACAGCTTAGTCAGTGACAGAACCAGGACCTGCATCTGAGCCTCAAACTCCAAGCTGGCCACTTCCAACGCCCCTGGTCAGGACCAGCTGAATTCAGAGGAGACCCAACGGTCGGGGCGTCAGCTTCTCTCCAAGTCTGGCTGCTGCAGAACTCAGGCTCAGCAAGCCCCCCCTCCCTCCGCCTCGGCTCCCCGGTTGATGAGGAAGGGTCAAAACCCCTTTCTCCCTCAAACATCAAAGACTCTGCAAGCTGTCATAACTATTTTCTGTTTGCTTGTTTTTATAGTTACAAGGTCTCCAAGCAAACATGATCAGGGCTTTTCTTTGTAGACAAGACCCTGTGTTTGGATGGATATTTGGGTCCATCTAGTGGAATGGAGCCTATGCTGCAAGAGTAAATGGTTTGTAACAGAAAAAAAAAGGTCTGTCAAAACAAGTGAGAATCATTCATGTCTTGGGTCATGCCAAAAAAATGTCGGCCTAGGGATATTTGTCTTTCCCAGGAAGGACCCATAAGCCAATATTGTTCCCTGAGATTTCCATGCATTCTTCAGAAAGAAGTGTCCTCCATGAAATGTAGAAATACCGTCTTTCATTATTTTAAAACAGCTTTCATATTTATAAAAGGCACAATGGAGAGACCTAGTATGTTTAAACAGCTCCCCTGCAGAAGCTTAAGGAAAGGTGTTTTAAAGAAATGATCGCCGATGTTTTGAGGACAAGTCAAAGGAGCAGAGTTTAGCTGATGAACAGGTTTCCTTCGTGCTTCTGCTTCCCTGTCTAGGGCTCAGCTGGGTCTGGCAGGGACTGTCCAGCCTCATGGGCTTCCATCCCTTTGCTGGGCAGCATGAGAGTGAAGGGCAACTCATCAGGAGTGTGGCCAAAGTGACTGTAGTCAGCAAAGGCTGGGACTGGACACCGTCGCTAGTGTCCTCCTGACACTGAGCCCTCGACTCTCGGGAAACCCACGGAGACTCTCTGCACCGGGAGCAGGACACGGTAAAGCGGGTGCGGTGCTGTCCCAAACTTCACATCAGGGATTTTAATCCCTAAAACATTAAAACACCACAACATAACAAGGATTCTGGGGAAGAGCTGCCATTTGGAGACTTCCTACCCCAGGACAAGCAGGGGGCGGTTAACCCTCACCACGCCCTGCAGGTGCGTATTATCAGTCCTGTTTTACAAACGAGGAAGCCAATTCAGAGATGAATTGTGTGCAGTCCACAAAGCTGGTAAGAGGAAAAGCAGGATTCGGACCAATGTTTTATTTGAGTCACATGTTCTCTTTCTACCCCCCAACATATAAGGAAGATTGGCCACAAGGCAGTCTCAATCCCTGGACATATTCTATGGGCTCCTCCGTGCCTGGCACCGCCAGCGCTCCAGGGCAGCCCGGAATCGGCTCTGACATCCTGGTCCTCAGGCAACGCTTTTCTAGGACACGCTGCAACCTACAGCCTGTGGCAGAGAGAGCTCACGGTGGGAAATAGAACTTCTAAATTTCCTTTCAACATCCAGCAGCTGCAATTGCTAGACTAAAAAAAAAAATTAAAAGCCTAAGACTGAATTGTGTGTTCCCACTGCCATGTAACATGTAATCCGGGTTCAAGACAGAAAAAGTATGCAGCACCTGAAAGGCTGGGCCCTACAGAAAGTGTCCCACAAGAAGAATTAGCATCACAGAGAGAGGGGAAGGGGGAGAAGGGGAGGGGGAGGGGAAGAGAAGGAGGGGAGGCAAAGGAGGAAAGGAGAGGAGGAGGAGAATGTGTCGGGTGGAGCACTATCTTTAAGGAGCTCTAGCAAGTTGCGACTTCTCACACACAACACCGTACTCACTGTATATGTCGGGATGTACGATGATATGTTTGCCACCTGGAAGGCACCTTTATATCACAATGTACCACTGGTTTGATCTGAAAAAGAAAAAATAAGCCTCAGAATTCAGTCCAAACTTAGAAACATTTGTTAAATACCCATGGTATGCACAGCATCACCCCCAGAACCTAAGTAAAGGTGGGGAGGCTTGCTAAGAGGACACACAGGGAGACCCAGGAGGGGTTCAGAGAAAGCTGGATTCCATGCAGGGTGGTGGACAGGATTCCGGCCAGGGCACTGCCAGGGGACGGGGGTTGGAGGGCTGTGTATTCCAAGTGGAGGGCAAGGTGCACATGTGAAGGTGTAAGGGGGTTAGAGCGGTGAGTGAGGGCTCGGAGAGACGGGCTGGACGGTTCTGCTGCGGACGTGCCCCGTGGCTTGTCCAACAAGCGTGGATGACCCACTCCCCAGGGACGTGGCTTGGCCAAACCTTGGGCCCCAAGAATGGATGAGTAGCTGCTAATTCCGGCCATGAGGCTGGAGGCAGACTGGCCTGGCACAGGTGAGAACGCCTACCACTTCTTCCTGACCCGTCTCTTCCCTCTTCTGTGAATCCAGCCTGAGGGCTGAGCCACCTCTGGGGCCTCATTCAGCTTCAACCTCAGTCCACAGAGGCCAAGATACTCAGGCAGAAGAGAGTCTCCGAGACCTGCCAGGGGCGGGGCTGGGCAAAGGCTCTCCTCCTCCCAGTCCTATTGTGTAAGGGCGCATGGAAAAGCAAGTGGAGGGGATTTCAACTGTGCACTGACGTTAACCTGTGCCACGTGGTGCGGACCCGGCCCCACACGCAATCTGGGCCCTCCCTCGAGGCCGCTCTCCAGTCCGGCAATCACGACCTCCTCTGACAGGTCGCTCCCCGACCATGTTCCTTCTCTATCCCCCCAGCCCACCAGATCCAGCCACCCAACCTGGCACACGAGGCCTCCACATTCCCTCCCCGTCCGCATTTTCCCCCGCAGCCTCATTCTGCCCTCTGCCCCTCCGCCCACTGCACTGCGTCCCAGTCGGCCGCCTGGTCCACCGGCCAGTCCACACGCAGGCCTGGGCCTCTGCTGCACGGTGCCTCGGCTCAGGCCCCTCCTAGCTCAGCGCCTTCCCCAACCCTCCAGGCTCCCCACCTGCTTCAAGGCCATCCCTAAACCGACAGAACCCACCACCCTTTTCAGCAGGCCCTCATTAGAACTCACTCGGTGTCCGCACGGCACACGCCGCCATTCCTGCAGGAAGGCTGCCGCCGCGCCGGGAGCTCCGGCAGAGATGCACTCGGAGCCCAGCCCACCTCGCGCAAGGCCGCGGAGGGCCTCATGGACCCCGTCTCCGGGGGCTGATGCTTCTTCCACACGCCTACCGCTGCGGATCCTCCCGGGCTGGGACCCCTTCCCTTTGCTGACCCAGGCCTGACAGGAAGCTCAGGGAAGGGATCTGAGTCACTCAGCATCAGAAGCCTTCACTGCCGGCCCGGAGTCCAGGTCTGGCAAATGTGTCCCTCCCTCACTCCGGGCTCCTGGACCTCATCTCGGCCTGGAGCCTCTGCCTGCTCCTGCTCCTGCTCCGACTCCAGCGCCAGCCCCACCAGCTGGTGGAGGCTCGTCTCCTGCTTTAGACCCCGTGTGCAAGGTTTGCTAGACATCCTCCTGCACCCGGCGTAGCAGGGAGGGCCAAGGGACAGGGGGTTTCTACCCAGAGTTGGGCCTCCCGCCCTCACCTGCCCAGCTGTCTGCTCTCCTGCCACCCCCAGGCCCCTGCCAGGCTGCCCAGCTCATACACAGCAGGCCACCTAACCCTCAATGTCACCGCAGCTCTACTGAATTACCCCAAGTTGAGTACAGTAACCTACAAAAGCTCCTTTGCCAAGTATGATACACGTACACTCCCAGTTTATCCCAGTGAGAGATAAACGAGCTGCGCACACCACTCACAGAGGTGACCAATTATTGACACCTCAGGATTTCCCCAGAGCCATTTTCTAAAAGAGGAGAGGGGAAATGTGTCACTTGGGTCTTCTGAAGGAGACGAGGAGGCAGTGTTCACATGGGTCGTGAGGTGGTGAAGGGTGAGAAGTAGAAAGACCATTTGGCATCTTGATCTTATTAGGGTCCAAACGGCATGGCAGAATTTCACCCACAGCCGAGTGATTATCCCCAGACATCCCCGTCTCAGAAAATCGCACCACCATAGACCCATTTTTTCAACTACAAAATCGGGGAGACGTTCTTGAGTCTTCTCTCCCCGTACACCCCACAACTAAACCATCAGCACATCTCTCATTTCTGCCTCAAAACTGTACCCTGCACCCACTCAGTTCTTGCCGTCTCCACAGCTACCATGCTGGCCAAGCCCCCATCTTTCCTCTAACTCGTCTCCCTTCCCCGACAGTCCTTTCTTCACAGCCAGCAGAGCAGCTGTTGTGAACATAAATCAGAACGGCTTACTCTCTGACTTAAACCCTGGGGGGTGGAAAGACCCATGCTTACAGTCAATCCCACTGCCCATGTGGCCCACGTGAGCTGGCACGTGCTGCCTCTCTGCCCTCACCCCATCTCTCCTCCCCTTCCTCCCCACACTACGGCCCTTCTTTCACTCTTCCAGTCCTTTAAACATCAAGCTGATGCCTCACGAGATCTTGAGCCTGGAATGTTCCCCCAGATCTTTGCATAGCTTGCTCTCTCTGCCTTAAGAACTCAGCTTAAAGATGTCAGCTCCTCAGAGAGGCATTCCCTGACTGACTAACCACGCACCTTGTTTTATTTTCATCTAGCACTTACTATGGCCTAATATTTTCATGCTTATTTGCTTATTATTGACTCCTCCTTGTAGAATGTCAGCCTCCTGAGAGCAGGGACCCTGACTGTCATGTTCACCAAGTGTTCCCAGTGCCTGAACGAGGAGTGGACCATTGCAGGAGTTCAACAACTATTTCACAAACACGAATGAATGAATGATGAATGAAGGCTATGACAACACGTGAAAAACAGCTCTGATACTCCAGAAAGGATCCCAGGGAAAATAGGCCATTGAAGATTGTGGTGACACCCACCTACATCCATTGTTATCTATTGTCATACTACATGTAAAATTATACACACCTGCGTACTAACAGAGAAAAACTCAATGCCATGAAAATCAACAACCAGCATGAATTTACAGATGGTTTGAAAACAAATCAGAAACTGTCCTCTGCAAAATTCTATTAAGGTACAGCTACACTAAGAAACAGCTTTCTGGTTGATTCAATAAAATTATGAAAGCAATGGGGGCTGGCCCCGTGGCCGAGTGGTTAAGTTCGCGCGCTCCGCTGCAGGCGGCCCAGTGTTTCGTTGGTTCGAATCCTGGGCGCAGACATGGCACTGCTCATCAAACCACGCTGAGGCAGCGTCCCACATGCCACAACTGGAAGGACCCACAACGAAGAATATACAACTATGTACCGGGGGGCTTTGGGGAGAAAAAGGAAAAAAATAAAATCTTTAAAAAAAAAAAATTATGAAAGCAATGAGCTAATTGCTTTTTTAATGTGTTAATAATTCATTAACCTTGATGCCATCTGCCTAATTAAATGACTCCAGCAGTTAAATTCACAATTCTGGATTTTTTTCTTTTTTTTTTCTTTTTGCTGAGGAAGATTGGCCCTGAGCTAACCTCCATTGCCAATCTTCCTCTTTTTTAGCTTGAGGAAGATTGGCCCTGAGCTAGCATCTGTGCCCATCTTCCTCTGCTTTATATGTGGCTCACCACCACAGCATGGCTGACAAGTAGTATAGGTCTGCATCTGGGATCCAAAACCATGAACCCAGGCAGCCAAAGTGGAGCACACTAACTTAACCACTATGCCATGGGGCTGGCCCCTGGATGCTTCCCCCCTGTACTCCATATAATAATCTCCTAAGAATTGTCAACAAAATGTTGTTTTCTGTTACTGTCTGATGGCAATGACAGTTTCAAAGACTCGTGTCACTCACCCGCCCTGAGAGGCAAAGAGCTCTTTAACAACAGTCCAAGGCAATTAGGCCAAATCAACATCAGTGACGGGGGACACTCGAGATTACCAGAGATGTACCTCCCCAGGCGGCAGCCGTGGTTTGTTGAATGCCTGCTGTGTATCAGGCACTGCTTTCATGCCTTTAGATGCATTCATACTAACCCTCAAAATAAGCAGGCAAATGTCCAGGTAACAAAGAATCAGAGAGGTTCTATAACTTGCCAAGAACACACTTATTAAGTTTCTTGGCCATGATAAACCATCAAAAAATATTTTATTGTAGTAGGTTTTAGCAAAATGGGGATTTGAGCCTATGCTAATATAGCACTGAGAAGCCTGTGTTTGGAGTGCCCCTCCATTCCAGTACTGGCTGTGTCACTCCCTAGCTGTGTGACCTTGATCAAGTGGTGTTACCTCCCCAACCCTCTGTTTCATTGTGCACTCAGTGCAGATAAAGGTGTGCTTCCGAGACGAGTAACAGAGAGAGAGATCACACAGTGTCTAGTGCTTACAAAATGCCCGCAAAGCGCTGAGCTCAACTGAGAGCAGCTGTTGTCATTTTTGTTGCTGTCCTTAGGCCCCCGAGACCCTGCTCTTTGCAGCTCATCATGCTCCTCCAACTACCCCCAGTGGACATCCTCACGGCCTTCTCCAGGCAAACACCAAACAAGAAGGACTCAAGAGAATCTAGCATCAAGAATAGACCTCACCATGTGACCACACTGAGGGGAGAATCTCATAACAAGCGAATAGTGCTCGGGAGAGCGTCATGCATGCAGCACCGCGAAGGCGAGTTTACAGAGATACCGCGCTAAAGGACCTAATGGCAGACGCTCCGCCAAAAGTCTAAACGGATCAACTTCTAAAGAGACACACGATGGCCACAGATCTCAGAAACCCCGGGGGAAGTGCAGTGCTCTTTGCATTTCTCATTTGATTCATTAAGGAAAAAAGGTTGCACTGGATCACCTCCAAAGTCACTTCAGATTCTCATTCTGTGATGCTGTGAGTCAAAGAAACATCAGCTTCACTCTTTCCCAAAATGTCCAAGAGGCTTCA